TTTTTTTTATTTGTTTATTTTTTTATCTATATCTCTTGTGTAATTTTTAAGTTTATTGTTGTTTTAAAAAGAACAAAAAATTATTTATTTTCATTTTTTTATGGTTTTTCAGTATTTAGGCTTTTTTCAAATCAAATTAAATTTATGTACAATTTTATTTTATATTTAATTTTAATTGAAATAGTTATTTAAATTAATTTACTTACTTTACTTTAAAAACCCCCACGCGCACTCGAACCTGAGATCTCAGAACCAGAATCGGTAGTCTTCACTCGAAGCCACAGCCGACATTTGTGATGACAGCAATTAACCACGTTTTAGTTTTGGTTATGCCTATTCAAAGACAGATGTCGCTGATCGCATAAGTTGTTCGAAATCGCCGAAATGGTAGGCCGTCGCTTTAGCACATACTGGTTAATGAACTAGTATTTATACTGGCTGGTTTGGCATTTCACTGCGGAGAACTGGTATAATTATAGCCCATGACGAACTGGTATGACTCTCCCATTTAATACCAGTTTTCGAACTAGAATTTCTACCAACTAGTTTACTTTTTTCTGCGCGGAACTGATATTATTATGGTTCATAACGAACTGGTATGACTTTCATCCTTAAATAATAGTTCATGAACTGGAATTTTTGTATACTGGTTTAGCTTTTCACTGCAGGGTATATACATATATTTGCATTTACAAGTAGGTAAAAGTTTTAATAGTTTCGGAAGGCACCACGCCCCCTTTGCAAATAGCCCCCACTTCTCTCCATGAGTATGAGATTGATTTAGCAAAGCAAAGTCCTTCTTCACCTGGTCTTTCCAACGCAGAGGAGGCCCTCCTTTTCCTCTGATACCAGCATCGCGGCCCGCGTTGGATACTTTCAAAGCAGGAGCCAAACCAGCGGAGCCGCTGAATTTTAATTCGCCGCACTATGTCTATATCGCTGGAAAGCTCATACAGCTCATCGTTAAATTGTCTGCGGTATTCGCGCTCGCCAACACATAAGCATCCGTAAATCTTTCGCAGAATCTTTCTCTCGAAAACTCCAAGAGCCGCTTCATCAGATGCTTCCAATGTCAACGCCTCCGCGCTATAAACCAGCACAGTCATGATGAGTGACATATAGAGTGTGTGTGTAGCAGGTGTCGAAAATTGCAAAAAAAAACGGTGCAGCCGTTCATGAGATCAGCTCTTATAAAACGAAAGGACTTCTTTTTAATAATAAACGCAGATAAATAGCCAATGGCCGCACGCTTGGCGGGGCTTGAAACACCTTTCGAACTGTAAAAAATCTTTCAATTCTATTCTATACATATCTATAATATGTTCTCCGAATTTCCAGCAAATCGGACCATGAATAAGGTATTTTCTAATAGATCGGTCCCTGGTCCACCAATCAGAAAAAAGTATCATACATATGGCACACGATCTTCAAGCTCTGAAGCGCAAGTACAACTTTGAGATCGATTTTAAGCAATCGTTATTCATATACCCACATATGTACATTTATATATATATATTACTTTTCATATCAATTCAAGTCTATTACATGCGCCCCCCCGCTTTTCATTTTTAATCTCGTAAATTGTTTATAATGACTTTTGCAAAAATTTCAAAATCAAAAGTTATCAAAACAAATTCTGTGGGACTGGGAAATATTATTTTCTACTTTTCACTCCTTTTATAAAAGCGTGGTATTTATATAAAAATTTTTTGTTTATTTTCTTCTTTTTAGTCTTGTCTATATAAAATTTTGCAATAGGTATTAAAATAATTCAACGATATTAATATGTATGTACACTAAGGTGGTACAAAAATGCATGTAAAAAAATTTGTATGCTCTCACCCCCCAAAATCGTTTTATACCGTAAAAAATATACCCTTATTATTTTGTTTTGTAATCAAATAGTATTTAGAGGTCGCTCAAAGCGCTCAAAGTTTTCCATCTATTTTATATGGGGAAAAAACCAGTTTCCGTAGAAATGATATAGAATTCTTGAAAATCAAGATTCCCAATAATAATACCCAATTATTTTTTAACCATTTTTTCATAGTAACTATATTTTATAGGTCCGCCAAAACCCCTAGAAAATGCTATTGGGGATAAATAAAAAATCTTTAGTATTAAAAAATGGCAACCTCTAAATATTTTTTGATTTCAAAATTAAAAAAGGGGTATACTTTTTTTCGATATAGAACAATCCTAGTAGGTGAGAGCATTAAAATTTCTACTTTACTTATTTTGGACCACCCTAATGTGCATACATACAAACACTAATTAATTTCATTTAAAGAAATTACGTGTCGTGGTAGAAATTGTTGATCAACTTCAATATATCAAGAAATATGCATATTAGCGATTTGGTGTTGGAAAACTTTTTTGTAGGAAATTGAATGTCCTACAAGTTTGGTATTAATATTTTTTCTGTAGCTCTTGTTACTTTTGAGATAGGGGCAAAAAAACCAGAATTTCATGAAAAAATTGGGTTTAGTGGCACGTACTACCTTGCTGAGGGAGTTAGGATTACACCGCAATTAGCACTTTCGTAGAGCGTTCAATTCTAAAGAAAATCCATCATTGACCAAGATTATACCATAAAATGCCTCTGAGCTGTAGACTTTTGAAGAAAATACTCAAAGTTTACGTGTATATTATATGGGAAATCTTTGCACGCCTTGGGCGAGTACTAAATGTTAATATTAAGGGTTTAAATTTTCAGGGTGTTTATCTAGGTGTTTTCCACAAAATTTCGAGGTAGGAGTGAAAAAAAACAATAGTCGCGAAAAAAGCACCCTAATGTATATATATATATATATATATATATAGTATGTATATATAATCTTGGTATATATTTAATTATACATATATTTTTGTTGCCTACACACGGCATAGCTATTAGGTACACTGAGGGAAATAATGCATAGTAAAAAATTAATACTTTATATTTGATTATCGTTTAAAAATGTTCGGATTTAAAAATAATATTTTCATACAAAATGAGCGTAATTGAATTGAATATTTACCAATGTACAGTACTTTCGTTGACGTTTATAGTAAGATCAATTACGTTTCTATTTGATTTTAATATTTTTTCCCTCAGTGTACTTGCGCCGGGTATTTAATGTTCGGCTCCGCCTGAACTTAGACTTTCTTACTTGTTTTTACTTTATTTGGTGCTAGTTATACAAAGAATTTTAAAAGTGCCTCTCAGCGGTTCTACCTTACTATATTTTTAGTATGTACATTGTACATATCCGATATTTTTCAAGGCACGCGCCTTTTGTAAATTTACGTTTAAAGTGGAAGCAAACGCTTATCAATGAAAACCAAAGTACTTTTGTAACTATTTCACCGTGCGACAAAAACCAAAAATTTTTAAAACACACCAAAAAATCAATGTATTCACAAAACTAGTAGCCAAATATGGT